GCGACTAGAGGAGAAAGCTAAGGCTCTGGAGGCATTGGAGAGAAAAAAGAGGATAGCAGAGAAAGCGCAAATGAGAGCTGAATTACGAGCACAGAAAGAAGCTGAACTGAGAGAGAAGGTAAGAAATTTTGAATTCCAATTCATGTGCCTGAGTAAGTGTGCTCTTCTTCACCTGGCTTTCCATCAATGACGTCCATTTGATTTGTCTAGGAAAGGGAGAAGAGGTTGAGGAAGAAGGAGAGAAAGAAGGCCGGCGGAGCCGAAGTTCCCGATGGTAACAATATTGGGGAATGCACTCCAAAATCTGAAATCGTACCTGGAACAATGAAGGAATCTGAGGTTAAGTACTGTTTTCCTACAGTTACCAAAAGATCTCAAAATCCATCAGTTGTGGTGAAGCAAAGCAAGCCAAAATCTATCCCTCCGCCACTTAGGAACAGAGGTAAAAGAAAAATGCAGCAGTGGATGTGGATAATTTTGACATGCGTGGTTGTTATTGCTCTGTTCTTGCTGGGAAACATTGGCTTCTTCTCCAGTCTATCAAATTTTAGGCCGCGGAGCCATAGTTTCTGAAGCTTTTTTTTTTTTTTTTTAAATAATCTCCGACTTTATGTTGGATATTTTAGAGACCAATAGGCGATTCTTTACTCTTTAATTTTTCTTTCAATTTCTTTAGTTTGGATCTTGTGATGGCATATTCTTGCTTATGTCTTACACATTATTTTGTTATGTTATATTTGATATGTATGAACAACAGGAAACAAGTTCCATTGGTTTTCCATCTAAGATATTAACGATATACAGCAGTTTAACCTGGTAGAAATGAGGGTGTGTACCTGCTTTTTCTGAAGCTTGTCTATTCAAAATGTAAAAATAGAAAAGCAATTAGAAGCCTCCGTGATCCCTACTTTTCTTGTGCTCAAAAAGGCCTGGACAGCAAACAACCAACAAGTTGGCCTTCAAGTACTTACTTGGTCAAGGGATCACGGTGCATTGAAGTTGCACGTTGATTAGAGTGAATTGGAAGATACGTAGAGGGCAAATGAATAGGCGGGTAAAACTCTTGATGAAGTTCCTTCAAAAAAGCTGTTGATGAAATGGACAGGGGTAAAGTGGAATGGCGAGTGATGATGAGTATAGATGGACGGGGGTCAGTCTTCTTGATAGGATGCTAAAGGCTCAAGAATTGAGACAGAAGTGGGCAACAGAAAGAGATTAGAAGATGGCAGATGCATCCACTCGTTAACATGACACACCTGGCTAACTTTTTGAGCCCAAACTCTTTACATTACCTACTTCTTTATATACATACTATTACTAAGTCTAATTTAATCAAATCTAACTTTGGGCGTTGATGTACGTAGTGCTCCATCTAGCGTTCGCCCCTGTTATCCATTCTAGGGGTGCGAGCAGCTTGATCAAAAGCTTGATTCGAACTCGAACTCGGTAAAATCGAGCTCGAGCTACTCGTTAAATTTAATGAGTCGAATTCGAGCTCAAGAAATAAGTACTCGAGTGCTCGTCGAATTTAATCGAGTTTTCATATTTTATTTATATTATATATTTATATTATATTATATATTATATATTTTTTTAAAAAATATATATTTATTTCAAAACTCGAGCTCGAGTTCGAGTAGCTCGGGCTTGATATTTACTCGAGCTCGAGTTTAGTTTTATTTCATCGAGTCAAGCTCGAGTAGCACAAATTTTGATCGAGTTCGAGCTCGAGTATGGTGCTACTCGAACTCGACTCGACTCGATAGCACCACTAGTACATTCCATGGAGAGAATTGCCTGACTATCACCTGCAGGCAAGCGGCATTTACCTCACGCCTGCACCTGCGCTCTTCAACCTTTTACTTACTGCAACGAGCGGTGCAGCGAGACAACTGTCAATGTACAATCCCCTTTAATGGATTAAACATTTAAAAAAAAAAAAGCCCCCCTCCCCCAGGCGTGTTTTAGCGAACGTTTAACAAATCTCTCTATGATTTAGAAACCTATAAATTCACCTCTTGTGCTTTCAAGTGTTTTAAAATTTAGATGGAAAATGTTAAAACCAAACCATGTTTGTGAGTAATGTGCCTCTAATGCATGTTGTGTTTGTGAAAAATATTGTTTGAACAGGATATTTGGACTATAGGCTAGGTAATTTTCGAATTCCGTTGTAACACTTTTTTTTTTTTTTGTGAAGTGAAGTGATGTATATAAAATTAAAAAAAAAGTTATTGGGAATTAAAAAAGTAATTAAAGAATGTATTTCTGATGCAAGTAAAATAATATTTGAAAAAAATTCCATATACAAACACTACTATGTTTAACACCAAAATGTGACTTGATTTGCATGTTGTACCCCTAATACGAAAAACCCTATTATGGTTAATAAGAAACCTATAATTTGGTCCCTTTATGGATTAGAAACCTATAAGTTGGTCCCTTCTTATCTCTTTATAATTTAGAAAAATCACAATCCAAACAAGGCCTTTGGTTTATTTATCTCGTTATGGTTTAAATAATTGACCCCTTGCAGTTAGTCAATTTTTAAAACGTTGACTGTGGTCCTCAAAAATTAACCATGCTTATATGACACACTCACATCTGGTGAGACATTATTAATTTGTTGAGTAAAAGTGTATTTATTTTAACACGATATAGCCCGTAACATCTCTTGAAATAAAATACAACACCCAAATCTAGCCCACACTGGTTCAGAACTTGACGAAGAGAAAACATATATTAAGAGAGAAATTAGGCAAAAAAACCTTTTTTAAGAGTGTATTTTGGTTTGCACATTATCTACGTCTTATTTACACACTGATTTGTTTGTATCATCATCACATTTTTCAATCACTTTATTATCTTATATATATCACATTAAAAAAGTGCTATAATATTTTTTTAAAAAAAAATTATCTAGAATAATCTGCTATCCAAATAATCACTTATTTTTGCAACGGAAGAAAGAAATTAGGCTTTTGCCGCAAAAAAAAATTTTTTTTTATGTTAATTGCCCGACATGGCCAACAAGGGTTAAAGGCAAAGGATCTCACATCTAAATCAAAGAGGCACGACCTTACTGGTTCACTTAGTGATCAGTTCGCCTAAGAACGGTTGATTTTTATTGACTCACTTTTTTTTTTTTTATGTAAGTGGTAGATTTTGAATTCGAAACCTTTCACCTAAACTTCTTTCTTTCGTGTTATTTAATTCATTTCTTATCTCTTCCCCCACTCATTTGAATAGCTAAAAGTATAGGATTGGAATAATTTGGTGGTTGACAAGATTTTTTTTTAACCCAATTCGAAAACGTGAGGGGTAATTTTGTGGGTGACAAGGTTTTTTTTTTTTGTTTTACCCAATCCGAAAGTGTGAGGCACGATTTTTCCCACAAATTATTAGAACAAACAGAGAGAGGAAAAACGTGAGTAAAGATTTTGAGAATTTGGAGGTGTACGGAGGAAAAGGAAACGAAAGCAATTGTAATTCGTGAGAAGAGAGAGAGAGAGAGAGAAGGCGGTTGCGAGGTGATGTGGAAATGGGTACGGAAGTGGGGGACGAAAGTTTCAAGTTTGGGTTGGTCGTCGTACTCCTCTCTCTGCCCGTCTCTGTCTCTGTCTCTGTCTCCTTCCTCTCTTACTGTTAGTAGAACCGGGAGGTTTTTTTTTTTTTTTTTTAAATTAAATTGGTGGGGTTGATTTGGTGCTGGGAGAGTGTAGCAGTGGGAATCAAAATTATCCCCATGTGAGTTGTGACTTTGACGTGACATAAATTCAATACAACTAGGAAGGAAGGAAGGAAGCACCGGTAAGTAGTACTAGTACAGTAAGTAGTACCAGTACTAGTACTACTATACCATAAATAATACCTCTATCGTTCGTTTGATGGAGATATTAATATTAATATTTAATATTGTACTTGTAGTAGTAGAGTCGGGGGAATTAGTCAGGAAGACTTGCGCAAATAAAAAATTTGCATTTACGGCTGTGAAATCTCAAAATGTGCCTACTTCTTCTATTTCTTCTATGACTACTGCTCCTCGTTTGGGTGCTTCCTGCAAATTAATTACTACGACATATGCTGTATGTAGCCTGTAGTAGTAGTACGCTGCACACTTAAAACAAAAATAAAAGAAAAGAGGGGAAGAATCCGTACAGTACAGACGGTAGCGTTGCGTCAAACCAAAACATTTGAAACACGTTGAGCAACAGCAACAACAACAGCTGGATACTCCCACCCAATTTCAATTACCTTTCATCGCTTTTTCACTCTGAAGGGATTAAGGAAAATAAACAAGATACAAGAGGTGAATAGTAGTTGTTGCATTCTTGGGTAACTGTTTTTTAGTAACTAGTGTTACACTACTGATTTTACGGTTAATTTTTTCTTTTTTTTTAAAAAGAGAAGAGAGAAAAGAAGATAGTGATGTTGGAAAGGATGAGGTGGTGAGGGGTTGGGGTCGGGATAAAGATGTACATAGTTGTAGGCGTGGTGTTGTTGATGTATTGAATTTACACATATGGATTTGGATGTGGCCAAATGTGAAAGAGTATCTCCGGTAGCAGCAGCTCAGCAGCAATAAATTGTTTGGGTTTTGCTGCACCTTCACTCTCTTTTTTTTTTTTTTTTTAAAAAATAGATTCTAATAGGAGCAATAAACTAAAAAATACCAACCCCGGGTCGGGGTGGGGAGAGAAAGAGAAGGGAAAAAAAAGAAAAAAGAAGAAGAGAAGAGGGAAAAAGCAGAGGTTTGTGGGAGGAAAGAACAAAAGAAATAGCGAAAGGGTGGGGAAGGGAAGGGAAGGGAGGGGAGGAAGAAAGAGACGGTAAGTGGTAATTGAACATTAAGGAATGCAGCTGGTCAGCTGGTGAGGAGAGCAGAATTTCGTACTTTCACTGCCATCTTACTTTCTGCTACTGCTACTAGCATTCTAACAGTACTATTTCTTTCCTTTTAAAAAAAAAAAAAATTTAACACCCACTCTCTCTTTTTTTTTTTAAAATTTTTATTTTTAATTGACATCTGCGGAGGATATCTCTCTGTTATAGTACTACTACTAGTAATTTTTTCTATATTTTTCTTTCTTCTTCTTCGTCTTCTTTCTTTCTTTATTTGTTGGGTAAGAACAACTGGTCGGTCGGTCGGAGTAAGATTATTTTCTTTCTCCGTCTTCTTCCTCCTCCTCCTCTTCCGATATTTACTAGGTAGGTTGTAACAATAATACTAATAAAACTAGGATTAGTGCCAGAATCCATTCAGATCTACTGCTATTATTCCTCTCTCTTGAATCAATTCAATTCCCCCAGTGTGTGTGTGTTTGAGTTTTGACTTCTGCCAAGATCTGACCATAAACACCATCATTCAAACGCACCTACTCAGAAATTTTTTGTTCTCCCAAGAATTGCTTTTGAATTCGAGAGTTGACGGCTGGGATATAGATGGCTTCTTCTTCATCTTCTAGTAACCCTTGAAACAGGTGCGTGTCTTGATTCTTTACTACTATCTCCTATTTTCATTTTGTTTTTTTTTTTGTTTTAAATGAAAAATGTTTTTGATGGTCAGTTTGATTTTGATTGCGTAGTCTCTCTGCATAATTGTACCCTTCTAAACCTTAAATTGTCCATAAACACTACACCTGACACCCCCTAAGTAGTGCTACCTTTTATCTGTCAAAATGATTACTTTTTTGTTGGTGATAAATCCAGTTTCTTCTATGCATATTCTGAATAGATTAGCAGCATCCTTGAATAATTATTAGTCTTTTGATGCCTGCTAATCTGGGGATTCTTCAGTAACTAAATTTACTCCCTGTATTTTATTTCCCTGCAGCTTTTTTTCTTTTTTCCTTTTTTCTAAATCTATGTGTATGGTGCAAATCTGTCTTCCACCTCTGATTTTGATTTTGATTTTTTGGGAATCCAAGGAGTTCTGTGTGGAGGTTGTATTTTGTAGTAGAGGAATTTTTTTGGGGGTAATATGGAAGAGATTGGCACCCATGTAGCGTCTCCAATTTTCATCCGCCAGGCATCATTTGCCGTCGGTGCTGGTGGAGGTGGCAGCGCCCGCTTCTGCAGTCAGCATCCCGCGCCCAGAAAGCGCAGCCTTCCCTTCACGCAACAGCAACAGCACCAGCAAAAACCCTCCGACGCCTGGACTTCAAAGCAATGGGAATGGGATAGCATGAGGTTTATTGCCAAACCGCATGAATGTCATGTACCGCCGCCTCCTCCCGTGATGCAGCATCGTCATCATGCGAGAGTAATGCAGGAGGAGCAGGAACTTAATACTGCCCCCACCACGAGTGGTTTGAACAACACCTCCAAGTCATGTCATGCGGGTGAAGGCTCTGATCATCTTCGGCTAAAGCTTGGAAGTGATAGTGGAAGTGGCGGTAAAGCTGGTGACGCCGCTGGCACCAGCACCAGCTTTAATTCAACTGACGAACCTGTGTCAAGGCCCAACAAAAGAGTCCGATCTGGATCTCCTGGAAGTGCTACCTACCCTATGTGCCAAGTTGATAATTGCGAGGAAGATCTATCTCATGCCAAAGACTATCACCGACGCCATAAGGTGTGTGAGTTTCACAGCAAAGCTACTAAGGCCTTGGTCTCTAAGCAGATGCAAAGGTTTTGCCAGCAGTGCAGCAGGTTTGTAAAAAAAAAAACTCCCATTTTACACCAACCTCTTCTTTCTCATTCCCTCTCTCTCTCTCTTCCCCCCCCCCCCCCCCCTCTGTTTCTTCTTTTTTCTCCCAACTTCGGCTTGTCACTGATCATCACTAATTTCTGGAGCTGACCATCAAATTAATACTTTTTTTTATGCCTCAGGTTCCACCCGCTTCCAGAATTTGACGAGGGTAAGCGAAGTTGTAGGCGTAGACTTGCTGGGCATAACCGTAGGAGGAGGAAAACTCAGCCAGAGGATGCTGCTTCACGAGTATTACTCCCTGGGAGCAGTGAGAAAGGCATCAATAGTGACTTGGACATTGTTAATCTGCTTGCTGTTCTGGCTCGTGCACAAGGTTTAAACTCTTTGACTTTTGACTGTGTGTGTGGTGTTGTTGGGGGGGGGGGGGCGGGCATCTTTTATGGTCTATTTTTTCCATGTGGTGTTCCCATTAACCACCTTTAACTGCTAACTAGCACGTTGATGGCGGAAAATCTTCGTCTCAAATAAAATACCTTATTTATTTTCTTGACTTGATTACTATTGCTTCCATTTGTGAAGGAGAAAATTATCGTTTTGGATGGATGTCTTATTTATTTTTTCAACTTTGTTGCCATCCCTCCAATCTAGGATTCAAAGATGACTGTCATGATTACTCTTATCTTTACTTCCCAAATACATTGATGCAATAACCTGTTTGATGATTGGTGCCTTGCCTTAAGATGCAATAGGACTGCTTGGAGGGTACATTTCAACTTTTAGCAGAGTCACTTATTCTTCTCTTTGTTGATGTTCCAGGAAACACTGAGGACAGGGGTTCTACATTACCTGACAAAGATCAGCTTCTGCAAATTCTTGCAAAAATAAATGCATTGCCTTTACCAGCAAATTTAGCAGCAAAGTTGCCCATTTTCAGCAATTTGGGCAGGAGTGTACCTAATCAAGTACCCCCTCAAAATCAGAGCCACTTGGATGAAAATAGTTCTCCATCAACTATGGACTTGCTTACGCTTCTATCAGGAACTCCCCCTGTGTGTGCTCCTAATAAGATGGAGAGTGAACCTGAAAGAAGCAGCCAGGGGAGTGACTCTGAGAAAACCAACTCTGCTTGCTCTGATCAAGCTGCATGCCTCAATTTGAACAGTGGGCCTGCTATGGAATTCCCTTGCATCGGAGGAGAGAGAAGCTGTTCAAGCACACAATCTCCTGTTGATGATTCAGATTGTTGTGTTGAAGAAATACATCCACATCTACCGCTACAGCTCTTCAGCTCTTCACCTGAGGATAATTGCCCACCAAAACTGCCTGCTAGTCGAAAATACTTCTCTTCTGACAGCAGTAATCCCTCTGAAGAAAGATCACCTTCATATTCACCGACTGTTGTGCAGAAGCTGTTCCCGGTGAAGAGAGGAACCTTGAAGCAGGGGAACACATTGAGTGATGGAGATGGTGATGCAAATTCTAGAGCTATTCGAGATGCTGGTTGCAATACATCACTCCAGCTCTTTGCTGGTTCGAGTGTGGGAAATGATGTCGGTTCAATTCAAAGTTTTCCTTTCCAAGCAGGTTACACATCGTCTTCTGGCTCCGATCATTCACCATCTAGCATGAATTCGGACACCCAGGTATTGATGACACAAGTTTTTTTTTTTTTTTTTTGGAGTTAATCCCTGGCTTTGGTTTTTAGTTTCTATTTTCTGTTTCATGAGCTTAGAATGCACAGTGGAAATGATAATGACATTTATCAAATCCTCAGGATCGTACTGGTCGGATTATCTTCAAACTTTTTGACAAGGATCCCAGTCATTTGCCTGGAACATTGAGAACGCAGGTCTGGTGTTTAATTGTCGCTCCTTGGTTATCGTACCCTGGTTAAGTTTTGAGAGCTGATTGTATATATGGTATTTTTTTCAGATTCACAATTGGCTTCTCAACAGCCCGTCAGAAATGGAAAGCTATATTAGGCCTGGTTGTGTGGTTTTGACAGTTTATGTATCAATGCCATTATTTTCATGGGAGCAAGTGAGTGAAGAGATGCTAGAGATGTTACTTCTTATCTTCTTCTTCTTCTTTCCCTTTTTTTTGTGCTGACTATTGGAATGATGCCCTTTTTTTGGGTTGCAGTTTGAGGATAAGTTGCTTCACTATGTCAAGTCTCTGATCAGAGATTTCAACACCGACTTCTGGGGGAGCGGGAGGTTTTTACTCTACACTGGAAAACAATTAGCTTCCCATGTGGATGGTTAGTATTTCTTGAGTTTGATGATATCACCAACTAATTGCAAGCTTTAGGATTATATGTTTCTTAGCACAATTTTAAATGACATTGAACTCTGGTCAGGTTTGTTGTCGGTCCATAGACCTCCAAGTAGTTTTTTCAATTATATTGACCATTTGTGTTAAGTTGTTTAATTCATTCATCACCACTTTCATTTTTAGTTTTATTTATCTTTACTCACAATTTTTTCTTCATTGAGGTTATTCCAATTTGCTTTCTGCCTTTTAATAGGTATTAACAATTTCAAATGAGAAATGAACTTTTGGAAATATCAACATATTGGGGAGTTTAATGTTAACATGATATGAAGCTTGAGGTGAGGTAACTCTTATTTCAAACATGGAGAGGAAAGGACTTGCAGTCACCCTAGAGCAGGGTTAGTGAAATGGCTTGACTTTTACCATAGGCACCTCGAGGCTGGCCTTCTCTCCTGTTAGATTTTTTGGTGTATTTAGTTCTAGGGATTTGTATTTACTTTGATATTTGATGTTCACTATACTCCATTGATCTCTAGGGAAGCTTCGGATCTACAAGACCAAGAGAGCATGGCGTTCCCCAGAATTGCTGTCTGTCTCACCTTTGGCAGTTGTACACGGCCAAGAGACCTCTCTTTTGCTTAGGGGGCGCAACTTGAACGTGTCAGGCATAAAGTATGTAGCCTATAGGGAAATGGATTCAGTGCTTTCATGTACCTCAGGCTGCTGTTTCCTCAGAAAATTCTTTGGTTACCTTGCAGGTTTAATTGCTCGCACACAGGAGACTACACAGTTGAAGATGTTTCAGGACCAGCATGTCAGGAACCTGAATACAATGAGATAAACTTGTGCAATTTCAAAGTTTCTACTACAGCATCTGTACTTGGGCGTTGTTTCATTGAGGTACCTTATATTTGCAGTTTGCATCTCAAACTGAATGGCATATTTTGAACAATTTGAATTTGATACATATAAAAGGAAAATCTATTGTTTCTATAAACAGATTGAGAATGGCTTCAGAATCACCAGTTTTCCAGTTATTATAGCCGATAAGCCCATCTGTCAAGAACTGAGGCTCCTTGAGTATGACTTTAGCGAGGGTGCAAAAATGGAGGATAGTATGTCAGCCTATTATCAGCATGGTCCTGGAAGGCCTGGATCGAGGGAAGAGGTTCTCCACTTCTTGAATGAACTTGGGTGGCTATTTCAAAGGAAATGCAACTCTTCCTTACTTGAGGGTCCAGATTACAAGATCAGTCGTTTCAAATTTCTGTTTATTTTTTCAGTAGAGCACGACTTCTGTTCTTTGGTGAAAAGTCTTCTGGACATCTTACTTGAAATTAACTTGGGTAAAGAAGGGTTGAAGAGAGTGTCTTTGGAGATGCTATCCGAAATTCACCTCTTAAACAGAGCTGTTAAGAGGAGGTGCAAGAACATGATTGATTTACTCCTAAATTATTCCATAGATGACTCTAGTGATACCTCCAAGCATTACATCTTCACACCAAATCATGTGGGACCTGGTGGTGTTACACCTTTGCATCTGGCTGCTTGTGCATTCAGATCAGATGATTTGGTTGATGCCCTGACAAGTGATCCACAGGAGGTACTTATAGTAAACTCTTGATGGCGCGATTTATTACTTTCTTGGAATTTGGATGAATACAATCTGTAAACATCACTTGGTTTCAGAATAACAGATTACTGTTTTATTAATAAAACATGTTTTTGTTCATTGGGATATTATTTGAATGTCTATTTGATGGATGCATTTGAACTGGTGCGTCAGTATCCTTTTTGATTTATAAAGGTTATGGTTCTACACCTGCAAATAACCATGTTAGAGGTGATCTCACTTAATTTGATCATATAATATGTTGATTATAATGTATTGCATACTTTCCGATTTTTGTCATATAAAAGTTCCATATTTTTACCTTGTTCACTGGTATTTCAAATTTGAGTTGATTCTTCAGTGTATTTATTATTTCCCCTGATGTAGATTGGGCTGCACTGCTGGAAGTCCCTTCATGATGCAAATGGACTGTCCCCTTACGCATATGCTGCAATGAGGAACAATCACTCTTATAACAGGCTAGTGGCGCAGAAGCTGGCTGATAAGGAAACTGGTCAAGTCTCGGTATCAGTTGGGAATGAGATTGAGCAATTATGGTTGGAGGTGAATCAGGATCATGGGCCTTCATTTCATATAAAGCGGAGCCAAAAACCTTGTTCTAAGTGTGCAGCTGTAGCGATGAGATACAGGAGGATTCCAGGTTTGCAAGGCTTGCTTCACCGACCCTACATTCACTCAATGCTTGCTATTGCTGCCGTGTGTGTTTGTGTCTGCCTGTTCCTCCGTGGTGCCCCTGATATTGGTTTGGTCGAACCTTTCAAGTGGGAGAACTTGTGTTACGGTCCTATTTAGTTGGAGATTATAAACAGGAGATATTTATCTCCTGATGAAATGGAGTGCTGGACTTGGTTAACTTAATTTGCAGCAAGAACTCGTGGTTTTTTTGGCTACAAGGAGGTTACTGTTCTCTACACGCTGCTTGTGGTGTCTGAAACTATAAGGTGGATATAAATTTTTTTCAGAGCTTAGATATGGATTGTGACGGGGTTCAGTTGCTTTTGAGTTCATTGTCCTCGAAGGAGTAGATATTGCTGATCAACTAATCTAATTTCCACATGGCATCTGATGAGCTACGAGTTGGAACATGCAAGATGAAGAGCCTGTTTTGACGCATGATGAGGCTGTCGAAAAGAGTAATGGCAGCGTAAGCAATTGCACCGAGTCCGAATTTAATATTAACATAACACTATTCTGGTGGTCTTTACCTATAAATCTTCTGTTTAAATCTGGAGTTGATAAATTCCGACTGGAGTTGATTTTGTCATTGTAAAGAATGGGTAGGTGATTAGGATTTACAGTGTTTTTATAGTTCTATAGTGAAATATATATATATATATATATATTTTTTTTTTACAAGGCTGTTAGAACAAGTTTGGTGGTCCTGGTAACTTTTTAATGTTTCCTATATTTTGTGAAGTAACTGGGTGTATTTGGCGGAAGAAAGTAAAAAATGGTGTATGATCACGGAAGATGATTGAGTTGTAGTGCATATTTATTGTTTCTATTGAGCCGTCTTCGTCATTGGTGTTTTTTTTTTACCCTTCCCTTACATATTGTCCTAAACTGTTAAGTTTGTTACTGGGGACATTGATTGATACCTTTTTCCCTCTAATGGTAAAAATATACACTATTCCTATACTGTAATGGAGAAGGAGCTTAACCAGGCTTTGTATGGGATTGAAAATGAACCTCTGAATTAGAGAGACAAATGCATTTCTAGATTTTCTGAACAAAAGAAGTACGATACTCGTTCGTTGTAATGGAGCTTCTCTCTTTTAATAAAGAAGTGGGCCTTGCACGGGCTGGCGTGGCGTGTCCTATGTCGAGGACAGGAGTAAGAATTTGGACTGGCCATGTTCTACGTTCCTTGCTTTATTTTATCCGAATTTGCAGGTATTTTTTTATTTTTTTTGCCCTTGGTTTCAGGCGGACGGTCATGGTGGTTGGTTGTAACTTGTATAGTAACGGTTATAAGTTGTCTACTTGGGAGATAGAAATCTTCAATCTAGCATGAGTAGTAATATATGCAGTTGCGAGAATATTGGATAAAATGATGATGATGATATTCCTATATAGCAGAGGTGCTCCTAGACACTGGAGCAATAATTAATTAATACTAGTATAACCTGGACAGTACTTAAAAGAGCAGAGTGGAGTCCCGAAGCCCCCGTAGACCATCAGTAGCAGGTGGCTTAGTTAGATGCAGCAGTGGTGGCCTCAGCACTCGGCCTCGTGGGGCTGCGGCGGCGGGGGCGGCCTCTTGGATTAATACTCTGAACCAACGCCTGTCCGAAGCCTTCTCCAAAGCCTTCAATCAGGCCTCCGATAAATTCGATAACCACTTGAGAAGCAAGACGAGCGGCGGTGCCGAGCACGGTGTTGCTGGGCTTGTCGTGATCCGGAGCTGTTTGGAAGCCATTTTCTTGGAGGCCGTTAATGAGGGGCTTTGCACAGAGGGCATGCAAATGGTAATTGTTGCACACAGCGCACCGGTATACTCGCCCTCCCGATCTTCTCTTCTTGCACCGGTCACACGACACCAAAGACTCGCCAGCATTGCTCAGCTGCAGCTGCCGCGGAGGTAGGAGCTTCAGAGGGTGGGGATGTAGCTCCGGAAATGTGATCTCAGTGGAAAGCATAGCGCAGCAAGGATGCATCTGAAAACTGCAGGCTCTGCATCTGAAGGTGAAGCCTCTGCAGGACTTGCCACAGATATCGCACTTGGGCCACTTTATTCCACCTGCGACCCACAATCAATAATAATTTTGGAATGCTTTACCATTACGCACGTAAATACATCATACATGCTGATGCTAGTAGTAGTATTATATGTTAATCACGCACGCAGCTATGTACCTTGTTTAGGTCTGGAGTGGAAAACCAGTTGGTGTTGGGGATGGAGGGGATGGCTCCTCAGAAGCGGGGGAGACAGGACGCAGAACTCATGCAGCTGATAATCGCACTCTTGGCACGCGAACCTCTTGCCTGCTCCGTACTCCTTGCAGCCTGCGCATGCGAACAGCTCAGGCAGCGTCAGCTGGGCCAGCGGGTGCTTTGGGTGACTGTAATGAGTTACTAGTACTGCTGCATCGCTGCTAATACTCGTACAACCTTGAGGCGAGGTGGGAAACTCAATGGAGGGTGGTTGTGGTGTATTACCATTACCGCCGTGGCCGGCTGGCGAATAATTTGGCGGAGAGGTGGACAGGATCGCTGCTTGCATTGAAATACTACTACTGCTAGCCCTGCTTTTCATGATGATCGGGATAATATAATACGACGACGACTTCCTTAACAACAACAACACACCAAGACCTAAAGTTTTCTCTCTGCATGCATGCGCATCGAAATCTTAAAAACTTCCCCCTTCAGACTGATTGTGAGTTCCTACCCTCCTCTCCTCTCCTCTCGCCCCCCCGGACAATCATATACTGTATAATTTATCGCCCAACTCGTACTACTGCAAATTTTTTGGGCCAAAACTCTCTCTATTTATGCTATATTCTTGCTAGCCAGAAAGTCAATAACAGCATCCGCTCATTGTCTATTCTCTTTTGTGTTTTTGGTAGTAATCCATTTGTCTAAAGCGGAGAAACCAAATTCTAAGTGACTCACAGCCGGTAGAATCATTAAGGAGGAGTTAATTAATTAATACGTGTACATAGGCAATGATTTGGACACGCGTATGTGCGTGCCACTAATTAACAATTACTACTATATATATATATATATATATATATATATTTACCAGCACAAATCATTTCTTGGTTTCAAATCTTGAACGAAAAAAAGTAGAGAGGGATGGATCAGGGAAGAAGGCCCCTGCCTGAAGGGGAGGGGGCCCAAAACGAACAAATACATGTCGAGACTGGATCCTTAAGCAAGAGATGGAATAAATCTGCTGCACTGCAATGGTTAAATCGCGTGAAAAAAGGAATGGGAGACAACTAATAATGGTCGCAAAAGTCAAGCTCTTCCTTTTTAGCTTTACTACTCCCTCCACTTAATCTGACCCATCAAACTTGAGAACAAAGCAAAGTTTTATGAAGGGCAAATGGACTACCGTCTTTTTTTTTTAATTTATTTATTTGTATTTTCTTTCTTTCCTCTTTTTGAGCAAGGGACCAATACACTTCTAGTTCTAAATCAAAAGAAAGAAATATTCCTGGTCCACTTTTTGTCCGTTTATTGATCCATCAGTACCATGCATCCATACCAAATACTACTACTACTACTACTAGGCAAGCTATCCCGCGCAATGCGCGGGCGCCAGGTTGGTGTGTTTAAAAATTGATGGATTATTTGATGTGTTAGTATGTTTTCGGGATTTTTTCAAAAAGTTTGTTTATGGAATATGGTTCCTTTAGTATTATCCTAGTTTTTATATTTGTTAGTGAAATTTTTAAAGTTTTTTATGCATATTTTATTTTCAGATTGTTTGGTATTTTTTATTTGTTCTTATGGTTGTTTTAGCGTTATTTTATTTTTTAATGTATTTATATATAGTTTTTTTAATTTTTTATGTGGTTTTTTATTTTGAATTTTGTGGTATTTTGAATTTGTTGTTTGTTCAATGTTTGGATAGCATTTGTATTTTTTATATTATATGATATAATGTGCATAGTTGGTGGTTTTTTGGAAGTGAGATATTGTTTATGCTTTTTTTGCAATTGACACATAAGAAACACGTGTGGGGTCTACTGTTGAGGAAGTATGTGGTTCCATGGTATATAAATGTGGGCTAGTTAGTTTAACTTTGTTTGGTGAGTGAATATTTTTGAGTCTTGGTTGATTTGCAGGTGGATATATGGCACATAATGATCGAGTATTTTCTACAGTCCAAGATCTATGTCCAGAGCTGGATGAGGAGCTCAGTAGGTTGAGTATTGGTTCTGCTAGTGCTTATCCTATGCGAAATTCTTCTCGAAATCGTCCTGCTGAACCTGTAGCTCAGTCTCAAGTTACTCATTTGATGCTGAAGAACGAGATTTGTGATTTGTTTAGGGTTTTGTATAGGGAGCGAGAGTGGGGACTTGTGCTAGACAGCGGATTGGTTGCTGGGAGGAGGTTGCCGATGTTAGAACTTATAGCTTCGAGAATCAAGTTTGATGTAGCTGAGGAACTGTTGTTCTTGCCCCGATCGCCCTCTTTTGACAGCACCGGTAGTAACAATGACTGAGAGAGTGTTGTTTTAGTAATGTGTTTAGTAAGTTGAGTGTTGTTTTATGTGTTTGTTAGCGTTGTGTTATGTAATTTCACTTGGTTTGGCTTTGTTTTTAGTGTAATTAAATAAAGCAGTAATGCTTTGTTTTTATGTATTATTAAATTGAGTAATAAAATAGTGTGAATTTTTGTAAATAAGTGGGAATGAATTGTTTTTTTATTATTAATTATTTTATGATGCTGTTTTGATTTAGTTATTTTTTGTGTTTCCTTTTTTGTACGTGTGTGCAAGTTTTGTGTACAATATGGATAAGGTTTGTTCCTACATGACGTGTGTGTAGTGTGCAGTGAATTGGTTTGTTTTTTCTTTGTGGAATCTTTGTGATCCTGTGTGCATGTGATTTTGCGCAGGAGTTTTGGAGCTTTGTGGGATTATATAGGTGATATTGTGCTTTATTGTCTATAAGTAGAGTGTGTAGGTGTTTTTTTCTTATGGTTGAGCATTATTCTTTGGAAATGGATTATTGTCATAATCATTTTGGAGTGTTACGTGATTTGCATCCAGATATTGAAGTCTTGTTTAATAGATTGTCATTAGCTGGTGTTGTGGGGAGTGTGGGTGGATCTGATGGACAGAATGCTTCTTTGGCTGGTTCTGATAGGGCTTTAGCGAATAATATTTTGCTGCGGAATGAGATATATGATTTGTTTAAGAAGTTTTATCGGAAATCTGGTAGAGTTGCTGTGTTGGATGAAGTTTTGGGAGATATTGGCGAGTTTCCGTTTCTTCAATAATTGCTCAACGCATGGAGCTTGAGGTTGAAGAGCAGAAGAAAGCTGTTAGAAGTGCGATGGTTTAGTGTGTTTATGTTCTGTTTTTTTTATGTATTTGTTCTATTGGGTTTAGTGTGTATTAGGTTTTTGTATGGTGTTGCTTAATGCATCTATTTTGAAGAATAAAGAATGTAGATTTTTCATCAGTTTCTATCGTGATCATTCCAAGGTTGAGGTTTGTCGAATAAGTATACTACATGAAACAGAGAGAAAAGGGTAAAGGAAAAACAGAAGCAATTGGGGTAAAATATTCCTACTGCTGACAAAAATCATATGTTCATATTCTGGAGTTCTGTGTTGCAACTCACTACTCAAACTAAAAAATATATGTTCAAACTAATAAGCAGTTGTTGTTTCTTGCAGTCAAATGGTTTTATGAATAAATTTACGGCATGAAAAAATAGTAGATGAAAAATATAGAAGACTTATTTGGGGATTTAAATGTTGGAGATCAGAAGAAAAAAATAGAAGTCTACAAAGAAGGAGATTTTGTGAAGCTATGGCATGTAGCCTGGATAAAAGTACATTTTATAAACATAGCGTGGATGTAATTTACAGACTTGTACTTCAAAAAGCATAGCCTACAGTTTTTTGTGATAAACAAAATATTCAAAAGCGTAGGCAACCTGAGCGAATGATCTGGTTCAGATCTTTAGCTATCTAGCTACATCAACGTTATATACAATGATGGAGATTGCTGATGATCAAACGTTCAAAAGGTGTATCAAAAGTTTAAGTAGAGATATTACATTCTACTGCTCCATATCAGTCACGTCAGTGCGCTGTCTCTTAGTTGGACTCTCTGTAATTTTGAGCGCTGTGAATAAGTTGCTGTCGAAAGTTGTGGGTTTTGGGACAGCCTCTGCAGTTGATGGTCCTGGAGTCGAGGAAGGGCATGTAGAGGAAGTACCAACTGATGCTGGAGTTGTAGAAGTCTTTGATATGATTTTCTGCAGCATTTGCTTTGTGCACTATTATGGTTGTGTATTTTTCTGTGTCCCCAGATCCACGGTTTCCCATCATTTTTTTCACAAAGCAAGTCAGAATGGTGCTTTCAATAGCTTCTTCAATAGCAATGTAGTTGAGTTGATGCTGTAATATTGATATTTGAGTATTAGTTGATAGAATGTATGGCAATTATTGTGTAACTGGAGGTTAATAAATTTTAGTGCTGGGGATGTACTAACCTTGTCTTCAAGTTCTTGAATTTGAAGTAGAGTGAAGGGCAATAGTTGCTCTGCATCATTGTCGTATAGATCAAGTGTGAGCATTCCAGAGTAGTCAGCCAGCTCTATGGTTAATCTGCATCTGCAATAGAAATTAGATATTAGTGCAGTAATGAGTGGTGGAATAACTTATAATATTGTTGTTCTGTTAGTTACCTTGGAATGACATTCACTTGCTTATTGCAAGAAGTGCAGATAATTTTTCAGAGTGGTTTTGCTCTGAATGATTTATGGCAGTTTGAGCATGCATTATACCATAGGTGTTGGCTTCTGTCAAGAAATCGTGGAGTTCCTTGAATCCAATAAGCTTTTTTCTGAGAATAAAATATATTATCAACTGGTTAATTTTGTGGCAGGTGTGATCAGTAGAGAAGTGTGGATGTCAAAGTTGTAGAATCTTACCGTTGGGAATTTTAGGAACTCTGCGATTGTGCAGAGCTCATCTTCGGAGGGTTGTGGTAGGAGTTTTGCTCGATCACAGTATGCTTTTTGTGCGATGAGCTCAGTAATTTGTGACTTGTTTTCCACAGCCCTTGTAAGGAGATGGTGATGATTAGCTGTTAAAGTATTTTGAAGATATTTGTATGGCAACAGTTGGTGGGTTTGTATGGGAGCAAGTGGTTACCATTGTTTCAGTGAGGCACCTTGTTGTATAGGAGGGTTCACCAAAATACTTGAGCCAAACTTTGTTGATAGATTCAGAGTTGAAACATTATGTGTATTAAAAAATGATGGACTGTATAAATGATTCAGTTGTAATATTTTGTGGTTTACTTACTGTGATAGGATGAGACTTTCACTCGAAGTGCGACAATGAGTGGCATTGATTGAATGATATTTGCAATAGTCTGCCCTTCATCTGTTTCATGCTCACCCCACAGAGTTAAGATGACTGGCATGAAGCTGCAATACAGTTGGTTAGATATTTAGCTGGCATTGTTGTATATGTGTTAAAATGAAGATTGTGTTGTGTGTAAAGCCATTGGTTGATAAATGATGCAAGTTACCTGTTATCTATGATCACAATCTCTCTGGTTGGGGTAGGTCCTCTGTGATTTCGCGGATGAATTTGTGTAACAATGCCAAGGGTATCTGTTTTTGTCATTTATCAAAGGTAAACTAAGTAGTCATGTATTGAGTATAATAGAGCTGAATTTAATTTTTGTGCATTACCTATGTCTGAAGCGTCATCAATGTGTTGATAGAATCTTCTGAAAGGTGTGAATGTGAAAACAGGGGGAATTTCTGGAGAGCTTGCTTCATCGATTGCTTGGACAACAGTAGAGTTGTCAATATACCAGGTGCATTGATTTTCATGTGCACGGTATTCCGGCGGAGTGTATTCAACTCTTGCATTGGATACCATGTAACGTCTGTACAGGTTGAAGTGGTTGCGAAAGAATTCTATATCTGACTTGTATATCATAACTTCCACTGTAATGCCCTATACATGAAATTTGGTTTTGATTAGAATGCGAATGTGTACAGTGAGGCATGATAACTCTGTGGCAGAATTTATTACTGTGTTTACCTGGTTATCAATCAGAGTAAGCTTCTGATAACGATTTACTGCTTTTGATAGTAGGGGTTTCTGCTTATCAAGGACTTGGACTATCGTTGTCTAGTATTGAAGTCCGGGGACGATCTCAGCAAATCCTATGACTTTTCTGTCGTCCTGTAATACAGAAGAACAAGTAATGGGTAGTTTCTGAGCAAGAATATGAGGATAGAATACTTAATGTATGCTGTAACCATATGCGTATGAATAAATAAAGAAGCTATTCATTTGCCAAATCTAATACTTCTCTATATACTACATTATGTGTTATTGAGTCTACTCCAGTGCTGAATATAGCTGGTTTGATCAGAATTTTTATTGAAGTCTTGTTCTTGGCTCTTGACATTGCTACATATAACTGGCCGTGTGAAAAAACTGGTTCACGTAAATATATTCCCACAAAATCTAGGGTCTGCCCTTGAGCCTTATTTATAGTCATGGCGTAGCATGGTCGAATAGGAAATTGTATTCTTTCAAAAGATACTGGTGACTCTGGATCATTTTCTATTCTGAAGCAGATTCTGTGAAGGAAGACTTCTTTGCCAGTGAATTCTCCACAACTTATTGTTGCATGTATGACGTTGGAGTTTAAAGATTTGCAGATGAGCCTTGTCCCATTGCATAGTCTTTGGGATGGATCAATGTTTCTGAGTAGCATAATTGGAGTGTTTGGCTTCAGAATCAATTTATGAGGTGGAAATCCATTTGGTGTTAGGGCGTTTATGAAGTCCTCCATGATTGTTTGGTCAGAATCCTTAATACATTTGTCTCGGCTAATGTATTCTTGAATTCGACCAGGCATATGGTGTATGAGCTGCTGATTAATCTGATCAACAAACTCATTTTTTGTTGTGAGTATAGCACGGTTTACAGCCGAGAAATCATGATGAGAGAATATTGTCAAATCTGGGAATACCGTGGTAGTCAGCTCTTTGATTGAATCTTCATCATTTGTATATCTTATCAGCATTGATGGAGGTATTTGTATACAGTCATTGTTGACAGTAGGTTCTGTTCCATTTCCAACACGGAGCAAATATTCAATGAATTCTGGATCATCCCTTGCTCTCATGTTTTCTGTGAGTTGAAGCTTGTGGAGGTGTGGCCATATATATGATTTGACTATACTGGCATAAATGAATTCTGATTTTGTGCCCTTAGGAATAACTGGTAATACCTGTCGAAAATCTCCTCCGAAAACGATTACTTTGGATCCAAATAAGGCGTTCGAGTCCATTAGATCTTGGAGTAATCTATCAACAGCTTCTATTAAACTTTTATTTGTCATTGGAGCTTCTTCCCAAATTATAAGACTGGCTTTTTGCAGAAGTTCTGCCGATGAACTTTGTTTGCTGATTCTGCAATTCTTATTTTTTGTTGTATCTAGTGGTATGTTGAACCTTGAGTGAGCTGTTCTTCCACCAGGCAATATTGAAGCTGCTAATCCGCATGATGCTGTAGCCAGCGCAATGAATCCTATGGATCTTGCCTCAGCTAATAATGCTCGATAGAGGAAGGTTTTTCCCGTTCCACCTGGTCCATCAACAAAAAAGCATCCATGTTTTTCCTGGAATACTGCATGAGTGATTATATCAAAGGCAATTTTCTGATCATTGTTTAATTGATCAATTCTTTGGAGATCAGACTCTAGCACAGTAATTCTTGTTTCTGCTATTGTGTCCCTCGTGTTCTTGTTCAGATCATTAAAATTTAGAGGATATGGAACCAGGGCATATGAGTTGATATCTCTTCCCATTGATTCAAGAAAACTGTTTATCTGCTCAAGAACCTTGTATCGTATTTCATCAGTTGATATTTCTGATATTTTGATGAAATCTTCTGATAGACAATATTCAAATTTTTTCCATAGCTTTCTAGCATTTAATGGAGGAAAATGTACCAGCAGAGTTGCGAACAGCCTTCTCAATATGTATGGCATTTGATATGAACTGGCTACTTCAAGGCATTTTTCTTGTGATGTATCTGATTCAAAATATCCTCTGAAAATTGCTGCTTCACGAAATGTGTTGACGTATGTTCCATTGAAAGTCTTGAGGTCTTCAAATGATTTGGGGCCTTTAACATGTGTTAGGAGTAGTCGAAGAAAATAATGTTCTCCTTCTTTTATACTTGCTGCGACAATTCTGTCAATACAGTCCTTCTGCTTTCTAGGTTCCCATTTCTTCCTTCCGGGGTACCAAACGAAGTGCTCTGGGAATTCTTTGTATGTACAGTTAAGATGCTGAGCTCATTTGTCCATAGAATTCATGTAAAAGAATTCTGTTAACATGGTTCTCTTTCTATACTTGTTTCTGACTACATCCCGTAGGTCTTGATCAGGTGTAAAGCTCATGGATTGACAGTTTTGTAAATGAAGTTGGAGATGAATTACAGAAGGGTGCATTTCACTGAGGTTAAATCTGAATACTCTCCAAATTGCTTCAACTGCACACACCCATCGAGCTGATTGGAAGTCCTTTATTTCATCGATTGGAAGAGATTGAGAGTTATTATTGCCTTCAGCACAACTATCTGAGTTTACTCTGAAATGAATCCTATCATGACCCTTGTATATATATTTGTATATGTATTTGACAGCTTTCACAGTGGAGCAGATTTCGACATTTATATGACAATCAAATTTTGCTAATAAGTATCCGTTGTGTGGAACAACCCATCTGTTATCAAGCTGATGGCCACAAACCATTATTTTCTGTCCATCATTTCTCATTCGGTAAGTAGGATACGCGTTCTTGCCATGAAAGGTTGTCTGAGCAAATGGTTTTGGATAATTATTTCTGCATCTTTTCCTCTGATTTCCTTGCATACAAACATTATCTGGATTTTGTGCTCCACAAGGACCATGGATCATGTGCTTTCGAACCATACTGAATAAATGTCGATTTGCTGTTATAACTGGAATTTCTACGCTGACGATTTTATCATAAGATTCTGTGGAATAAAGTTTTGAAGCTGCCTCTAGGATTATGAGGAAATGACCATGCGGTAGACCACGTTTCTGGAACTCAACAACATAGGTATATGCTGCGACTGATCCAAATATTTGTTTCTTGAAGAGTTGCTCTTTCAGAAGATCAAGCTTAGCATGGAAAACTCGAGCCAATAAGTCTGGTCTGTTATGACTTTCATCAGTAGGGAGCATGTGTTTTTTCACCTCAGGCCATGAAGGATTGCATGTCATAGTGATGAATAGATCTGGTTTGCCAAATTTTTGCACGAGAGCCATAGCATCAACATATCTTCTTCTCATGTCGCGAGGACCACCTATGAATGATGCTGGAAGGATAACTCGCTGACCTATTTTGGATCCTTGGCAATGTCCTGCGATGACACTGTCCATTATGCCTTGAAGTTCCTCTCTTCTTATTAACTGTTGTCGGCTTCTGTAATAGTCAAGCCTCTGGGATTCTATTTTGATATACATATCGATGACATATTATTGAAGTAGTCGGCCGGTGTTGAGTATGCCTGGAGTGTACTTTTCTTGCATCTGCAACTTGTATGCGTAATACTCACGCATAGATACAAACTCTTTATTGTTTTCAGGATTGTCAGAAGCTGTAGGACATGTTATTCAATATCAATCTAATGATATAGTAACTGTATATTGGGGAATATAATTATTTACTATAATTTTTGCCATACCTTGGTGTTCAGCTCCTATTAGTTCTTCTGCAGATGTGCAATTAGTAAAAGCAGCAGAGCAGTTGCCTGTTCTATTGGATCTTTATCTTTTGTTTGCATTATGTGGTGCTATTCTTTTTATACCAGGATGCCATCCTGTCTCTCCAAATGGAAACAGTAGCGGATACTGCAATGGATCATAGCATCCATAATAATATTGCACCAGATGATCTTTGCCTTCTTTAGTATAGATTTGGATGTGCCTTTTGTATCCTTCTCCAGATTCTTGGCCCTCTACCCATAAGGCTGCAATTTGGGATGCAGTTGGTTGATTCCAAACTCTCTGGTCATTCTCTGAGTGAGACTTTAAGACAATCTGATATGAGTCAAGATTCGGAACATTTTTTAAGCTTCGCAGAAAAGAGGCATAGGGGTTGGATTCCATGACATGCATAATCTTTTTCACCGCACTCTCTGTTAGCTTTTCTGATGTAGCCAGTCTGTTTTCTAACTCGTGCTCCGTATCATGAAAATATAGCTGCAAATAAACAGTTTTCTGCTCATGTGGAATAAGATCCTTGATGAAGTGATAGGTTTGTCCCTGGACTTTGAATGTGTAGATACCATTAGTTCTTCTACATAGGGATTTGTCATAATGTACTCCGAAAGAGGTGAAGGCAAACATGTTATTGTATGTTCTGACATATGTTCTGAAAGAAAGAGCTTCAGCAGAATGACCAGTATATAGTTCGATGAGAATATATGAAAATTTGTTCTCTTGGAGAACTATCTGACCAGCAGAGCAGCAGAAATTTGGTGTTTCAGAGTGAAGTTTTTTTGCTTCGCAGTAGCTGCAATCTGGTTTGGGAGCCAGTATATCTGGTTCATTGCTGATGCATTTCAATGCTTCAATTCCATCTGGAATTTTTCCACCTACAGTACAATGAATGTAATAGTAATTATTGAATATAAAAAAAAGAATGACAAAAAAGTTTTGAATGAATATCATGTTACATTAATAAGACTTTTTGTTTCTATACCTCTGTTGTGAGGTTTCTGAGTTCTTGCTGACCTTGAACGTTTGTTGCCTGTGTGAAGTTAATAGAACATAATTGACTTTAGTATACAAAGGCTTAATCTAATGATCATTAGATGATGAAAATTAATAATTGAGGTTGTATCTGTACCTTTTTGTGTTTTAGCAATAGATTTTAAGCATTGTTGGCTGACTTGATATTCCTTTGCAAATGCTAACAATTCTAGAAAGGCAAAGTTGTGCAATCAATGGTATTGTAAAGAAAAGAAATATATGTAGATGTTAAATACGATTGAGTAGAATCTTGTATACCTAAAGTTGTTAACAGTGTCAACTACCTGGAGCATCTTCTATGTTTTGGGGAAGAAATTTGAAGCAGTTCATACACATGAAGGATTTAGCTGTTGATGCAATGTAAATAAATGATAGTGGAAGAGTGAGAAGAACATAGTAAAGCATCATATATTGAACAGTTTATTTTTGTGCTTAAGATTGTTTGAAAGAATTAAAGAACAAGTTATTTGCAGTAGTTTCAGACCTTTGTCATGCTGTGCACCACTATCCGAGCATATATGCTTGTGGTTGGTGCCTGAACAATTACCTAGGTTTTAGAAAATTAAGAAAAGCTCAGTTATGTAGCTGAAATAACAATTGTCATAGAACCAATTATGTTTACACGAAGATGATAGAAATGAAGACCTTCTTCATAAGTAGAAAAGCAAAAGAGACTATTCTTGAGATTTGATCCAGGGTGCGATACACAGAATTGATTATCTGTGGCATACAAAAAAGTAAATAGCTGATTATATTAGGGAACAAGAAATATATTATTATGATAGTTTTGGATATCAAGAAGAATTGGGTGTTTATCATGATTGCATTGACTGCCTACGTGAATTGATAGACCTTGTAAATGCAGATAACAATTTGTATGTATGTCATGTGGAAAAGAAACAGGTATTTCCAAAGTTAAGTCTGGACAAACCAGTATAATGCATTTCTGAAGCAAACAGTAAGAAAAAAAATAGGAAATATGGAAAACATTGTTACTCTGACATTGATACAGAGGGATATTTTGTTGAAGTTTACCATTGTTACTCTGATACTTGGAGCTAGGTAACTGAAGATTAGAAAAAAGAGCTGTGGTGACATTTGTATCAGATGTTCCAGCAAGTGTACTTCTATCATATTTTGCAACTGCAATTTTTGGGGCTTTAAACGTCAATATAAGTATAACAAGAGAAAAGGAATGTTTAAGAGATAAAAAGTGAATAGGAATGTAATAATATGAGAAAAAAAAAGTAGGTGAACCTCAAGATATATACCTGTGTCATGAAGATGCTGCTCAATTAACTGTGGCATTAGCACTCCTGTGTATAATAATACATATTTTCATTGTTTCATATTTTCAGTCAAAGAAACTGCAAACTAAAAATGTTTGTAAGCTTTGTGTTGGAGTATATACGTACCATCATTATTATTGTTGGTACTGGCTGGTCTGAAAAGAGGTTTGATATTCGACTCTTTGGTAGGCTGTACAAATTCTGGATCAAGCGTCTTGGACAATAGTTTGGTCATCTTTCTTCTGTGATACGCTTCTCTATTTTTTCTTCGATGAGTTTCCTTTTGTTCGACAAAAAGAGCAGCAAATTTTTCTCTAGCTTTTTTATTTCTTTCATTTTTTTTCTCACGGATTTTGAGATCATCGTTTTGTGCATATAACTCAGAGGATTTCATAATGTTTCTTAGCTAGAACAACTGATTTTTATTGTCGATATATGCATGCAGGGAAGAGAGCATAGTTCGTTGCATGAAGTAAGTGAACGATACCAAAGCAGAAAGTACAAAAGTGGTATCGAAATACTTTGAATAAGCTAAGGAATATGTTAAAGGAGCTACTGGGGGAATACCTCCATCGGTAGTCAAAGCACAGAGTTATGAAGCAGACTTGTCGCAAGCTAAAAAAAGGATCTGAAGTCAGTAAACACAGATCTTTTTATCAATAAGGAAATGAGCAGAACAAAACATCAGAATGATATCAGAAGATATTAAAGAAAAAATTGTGAAACAAGTAACATTCCAGTACCTGGTGTTTGAGGTATTTAGTTGAGGAGAATTGCTAAGGAGATTTTCATACAATCTGGAAAGCAAAGCATATAAAAGAAGACGTTGCATGAAGACCATGTATATATGTCTTATATATTATATATTATAAAATATAAAAAATGAATCAAGACCAGTCCAGAACAGAAGCAACTTCCAGGGGAATTTGCTAAACAAGAAAATGCAGTGGTCGACAGCTAGGTAAAGATGAGTATCAGGTCATAATAAAAAGTCCCTTCTATCCTTTTTCAGATTCATAGCATACATATTAAATTGCTACATAGCAGGGTGTAGACGGTAAATTTGAAAAAGTATTTGAGTTCAAATCATGCATATCTATTTCTGTGAGATCACAATTATCTATGTATCTGCATAGCTTGTACTTCTTCATACACACGTGTTTATATATTTCTAACATATATAAAAGTGGGACTTATCTACAATCACACTTATCTATGTACTTATATTTAATTTATGATACTTATTATATTGATTATTATTCATATACACAATATATAAAAGTGGGACTTATCTACAATCACATTTATCTATGTACTTATATTTAATTTATGATACTTATTTTATTATATCTTATATATATATATATATATATAAACGTATACATATACATATAAATGGTGTCTACCATAGTTACTTTTAGGGGTGTTTTTGAAAATTTTTTTGAGAATGTTTTTAGAAAGTTTTTCAAAAAATTCAAACTAATTTTTAGATTATCTTTTAGAATATTCTGTAAAGATTTTTATTGTATATAAAAAAAATAATATACAAGAGTTATAAAATAATATAATACTCAGATTTATCTATAATTATAATTATCCATGTACTTATTTTTTGATATATATATAAAGACATATATAAATCCCGTTGAAATTAGCTATTTTTTACAGTGTTTTGAAAAATTGTTGGTAGGATATTTTTAAAAAGTATTCAGACATATGAAAGCGAAACTTATCTATAATCACACATATTTATATATATAAAAAAAGTAGTTATATGTACTATGTACTTATTAGTGCATATAGATAAACATATAGATACTTGTTTACTCATATATATATATATATATATATATCTATGTATGTATTACATATCTATATGTACTTATTGATTATTGATACACAAATAAACTTATTGATTATTGATACAGAAATATAAACATATACATAAATGCTGTCTGAATTAGTTATTTTTATGGGTGTTTTTCAGAAATTTTGTTACAATATTTTTAGAAAGTATTTAAGAATAAATAGAGATTTTTATTGTATACACAAATCCATGTACTTATTGATATATAGATAAACAAATATATATGGATCTCGTTTAAATTAGGTATTTTTGGCAGTGTTTTAAAAATTTGTTTATAGGATATTTTTAGAAAGTATTAAGACATATGAAAATCAGACTTATCTATAATTGTATGTATATATATCTACTATATGTACCTATTGATACATAAATCTTGTCTAAATTAGTTACTTTTAGAGGTGTTTATGAGAAATTTTGTTGGAATATTTTGTATAGATTTTTATTCTGTATACATACAAAAAATACAAAAAATAATATACTCATATATATATATCTATGTATGTATTATAATATCTATATGTACTTATTGATTATTGATACACTAATAAACTTATTGATTATTGATACACAAATATAAACATATACATAAATGCTGTCTAAATTAGTTATTTTTACGGGTGTTTTTCAGAAATTTTGTTATAATGTTTTTAGAAAGTATTTAAGAATAAATAGAGATTTTTATTGTATACACAAATCCATGTACTTATTGATATATAGATAAACAAATATATATGGATCTCGTTTAAATTAGGTATTTTTGGCAGTGTTTTAAAAATTTGTTTATAGGATATTTTTAGAAAGTATTAAGACATATGAAAATCAGACTTATCTATAATTGTATGTATATATATCTACTATATGTACCTATTGATACATAAATCTTGTCTAAATTAGTTACTTTTAGAGGTGTTTATGAGAAATTTTGTTGGAATATTTTGTATAGATTTTTATTCTGTATACATACAAAAAATACAAAAAATAATATACTCATATATATATATCTATGTATGTATTATAATATCTATATGTACTTATTGATTATTGATACACTAATAAACTTATTGATTATTGATACACAAATATAAACATATACATAAATGCTGTCTAAATTAGTTATTTTTACGGGTGTTTTTCAGAAATTTTGTTATAATGTTTTTAGAAAGTATTTAAGAATAAATGCAGATTTTAATTGTATACACAAATCCATGTACTTATTGATATATAGATAAACAAATATATATGGATCCCGTTTAAATTAGGTATTTTTAGCAGTGTTTTAAAAATTTGTTTATAGGATATTTTTAGAAAGTATTAAGACATATGAAAGTCAGACTTATCTATAATTGTATGTATATATATCTACTATATGTACCTATTGATACATAAATCTTGTCTAAATTAGTTATTTTTAGAGGTGTTTATGAGAAATTTTGTTGAAATATTTTGTATAGATTTTTATATTCTGTATACATACAAAAAATACAAAAAATAATATACAAGAGTTTCTAAAGTTTCAAGCAAAGGTGAATGTGCAGTGGAACGTCCAAAACAAGTCGAAAGTACAGCATCTGGAAGCACTCCCGATGCACTTGAAAACTACAATATATATATATATATATTTTTTATCTATAATATATATCTATAATAATATCTATATATATATATATATATATATAAGTATAAAACCGAACTCCACAAGCATCAGAACAAAAAACAATCCAAATTCGCGGCTGTTGAATGCCCATTTCAATGAATGTACAAGAGTTTGAAGCAAAGAGCAGCAGCCGAAAGTACAAGCCGTGGAAGCAGAGTTGCAGTTGAAAGCAGCACCACTGTAGAAAGACAAAGTGCTTCTTATGTGTATGTAAAGATAAAGATATTCTTATTCTTCCTCCTGAAACTGAAAGATGAAAGGAGGAGGAAGAATGTTGTAGGTAGGCTACGGTGCAAGCAAAAAGGAACTATCGGAGCCGAGTCTCTAACCTGTGAACTGAACACAGCTGAAAAAGACAAGGGAGCCGGGCTCGTCTTCCGAAATAGCTCCGATGTCAAAGTTAGAGACCTAGACTAGATAAGGTTGGAAGTTCGAGAGTTAAAAACCCTAGATAAGTACGGAAATTGGCTGTATTTATAGCCCCGAAAGATTGGATGCCAAAAGGTCAGGGTGCATTGATTGCCGTAGGGGTAGTCAGCTCCTGGGCTGGCAGAATGTTGCGGCTTCTAACGGTTGTCAAATCAGGCGGCAGAACCCGAATTATGTATTTCAGTCGCAGTTACTACTTAGCAAGCAGCCAAACACAAAGAGACGAAAGAGAGTAGGGAGCGGGAGGGACTCGTCCCAAGGATAACTCCGACAGTTTGTTGCGCCTGCGGGCACAGCTACAATTTCGCAAGCGTTTTTCTTCTGGCAGGTGCTTTTTAAGTTGGGAAGATTCACTCGAGACAGAAAGACGAGCCCAAAACCCATAAAAATCTCTCTCCGTTTTCCAAAGCAGAAGTAAATCATATGTGTCCTCATTTGGAATAGTTGATGAAAAGCAAGTAGCTTTGTCCAGTGCAAGACCCTGGGTAGCAAATTGAGAGGACAAATAACTGATTCAAAAAAAAAAAATTTAAAAATTTTGAGGATTGTATAATTTCAATTGTGTTTTTTCCCTTCCTTAAAAAGTTAAAACATGCATGGCCCGCTGAACATTTTCCTTTCCGTCGGTCTCATTGGTGAATTGGGAGTCCACGGCTCTTATTTTAATAGTGTGCACAAATCCGGTCACCCAAAGAAGAGGCCCATGCCAAAAAAAAAAAAAAAAAAAAAAAAGTGGGCATTGTGGTTAGATGCATTTCTCAAATCTGGGTTGGGCGAGTGAAAGAAACAGTACCTGTCCTTACTGTATGAGCAGTATAGCACGAACACGAATTATTAAGTAATAATAAGAAGAGAAACATAACAGGAGTACGACTTAAGTAATTGAGCTGTGTCAAAAATTACATCTACCTCTCATAATTCGACGCTTTTGCTAATTAAACTTTAGATTTGATAAAAAAAATGAATACCCTAAAATAGCCTCAACTTGTAATATTTAAATCACTTTAAAAAATAATTATAATATATTTAACATAAATACAAGAAAAGAACTCAAGTTTTCAATACCATATTTATTATTGATAATCAATTATGACAATAGTTCTACTTCTACCACTATATGATAAAACTTCTTTTAATGGTGAGTACTGGAGGATATGTATTTTTGTAAACTGAAAAAGAAAATATCATCACAATTCTTTTAAAGTTTTTTGAATTTTTGGATTTGCGAAACTAACTATCATAATTTGATAGACGATTTCATTTTCAATTAATATTACTTTTGATTTAGAAAAAAAAAAGAAATAGAAAAGATAGACAAATAAAAATTGAAAGAAATACTAATATAAGAAAAGAACGTCAAGTTTTCAAAAAGTTGTTAAGATGAACATTACAATATAGCTGTCAAACAAACCCATTTAACTAAATTTACCCATACCTCCCCATTAATAGATGAGTATGAATATCTTAAATGTTTACATATGGGCATAAATGGGTTACCCAATAAATGTGTAACCCATTTAATGGGTATTATTTAAATGGGTTATCCAATTTTTGCCCATTAAATGGGTATTATTGGGTAACCCATCAAACCCAATTAACCCATTTAAAATTGTCCTCTCTCCAGCCTCCTCTCTTCCCCCACCCTTTTAAAAAAAAAAAAAATTCATTTTGTCATGATGTTAACTACTTTTGTTTCATTATTATTATTATTATTATTATTTGTTGATTTTATCTTATCATTTTATTTTATTTTAGTTTATTAACTTGCTCATTTTTCAACATTACCAATTGATGACAAGTTTTAGCTTCTTTTCTTATTTTTCCAAAATGAAAATTTAAATTTACACACGAAAAAATGCTAGGGGTTCAAAATTTTTGGATTAAATTTCTATGTTAACTTTTATAATACTTAGTTCAAATTTTTATATTCTTATTGTTTGATTATTAAATAGTATGTAATTTTGTGACATAGAGTACGGATGGGAAAAAAATTGATAATTAGGTTTATTGAGCATTATAAGTAAATATTTAAAACTAATGATGAGTGCAAAGAATGGCATAAATTGATAACTTAGTTTGCAAAAATGAATTTACAAAAAGTTAAAATAAATGGGTAATTGGGTTATCCAATTCATTTTTTGACTTATCCATTTATATCCATCTAATTAAATGGGTATAAATGGATTGACTCATTTATACCCATTATCCATTTTACCCAATCCAAACCCGTCCAAATCACCTATTTTTGCACCTCTAATTATAAGTAATCCCCACCAATAGTGAAGATGACAACTCCAATTACATACACGTGCGTGTGTGTATATGGGAGAAATTATTTAGACTTGTTCAACGGCCTGCTGATAACTGATAACTAATTAGTAGGTAGTTACAACTAATTAGGAGGAATGCATGGAGCTGGGGCTGTGGCTGGTGATGTTGGTTCCAGGTAATTGGAGGAAGCTTGGGCGGGGAATGAAATTGAGAGCTGATTGAGGAAAGGGCGATGCAAGCAGGTACGTCAGCTGGTCAAAGATTGCAAGCAAGAAAGCACCGCAAAGAGAGGAGGGGGGGAGGGGGGGAAACGGACGTCATCGCTGAGGACTCATTTTTGTTTCTTGGCAAAAAGGTTGCTGCTACAGTACTTAGCAATGAGTAAACTAGTCCACCTCCTCGATCGGACCATAAATAAAAGTCGATTAGCGTTGCTTGTTGACGACCAAACCCAGACGGGAAGCGGAAGACTTATCATCAACCCAGACGGGTTGCTGTTTTTTGGGAGTTTGTCTAAAATTTTACTGTAGTGTACTGTAGAAGTTTTTGAAAAAATTTTGTAGAAAGAAATTTTTGTAAGATGAAAAATTTTGTAGAAGTTTTTGTAAGGTGAAAAATTTCTTTTTTCTTTTTTTTTCCTTTTCTATTTTTTTTCTCTTTCCCTTTCTTTTTCTTTTTCTTTCTTTCCTCTTTCTTCTCTTTTTCTTCTTCTTCTTCTTCTTCTTCTTCTTCCCCGTTACCTTCGCCACCCCCAGCAGCCTGCCAGCAACCGCCACCCCTCTCCTCCCTTTCCCCTTCTCCTCCCCTCCCCCCGCCGCCCCTTCTGCCGCCTTCCCCCTCCCCCGCAGCCCCCTCTGCCCCTTCCCCCCCCCCCGTCTTCCGCCCTGCCCTGCCCCTCCCCTCTGCCCCATCCCCCTCCCCCCTCCTTCCCTCTCCCCCGCCGCCCCCCTCTGGCCCTCCCCACTCTCCCCCGCCGCCCCCTCTCGCCCTCCCCCCCCCCCCCCCCCCCCCGCGCCCCCTCTGCCCCTTCCCCCTCCCCCGCGCCCCCTCTGCCCCGCCTTCCCCCTCCCCCGCAGCCCCCTCTGCCCCTTCCCCCTCTCCCCGCCGCCCCCTCTGCCCCTTCCCACTCCCCCCGCCTTCCCCCTCCCCTGCCGCCCCCTCTGCCACCTTCCCCTCCCCCTGCCGCCCCCCTCTGCCCCGCCCCCCCCGCCTTCCCTGTCCCCTTCCCGCTTCTCATCCTCTTTCTTTTCTTTCTTTTTTTTTCCCCACAGAGAGGTGGGAATGGTGCCGGACGTAGAGAGAAAAAAAAAAAAGACAAGAGAGGATGATGGCAGGGGAGGAAGAGGGGGAGAGGGAAAAAAGGGGGAAAAAAAAGAAGACCGGCACCGGCACCGGAAATTGACGCGGGAACCGGCGACAGAGCCGGCAATGGAGGTGGTGGTGGGAGAGGAAGAAGAAGAAAAGGGGAAGGAAAATTTTTTTTTTTGTTGTGTTTTGGATATTTTAAGTGTGTAGGTTAAAAATTTTATAAGTTTTTTGGATAAGTTTTTTGGGATTCCTGTAGCACAAGTTGTTAAAAAACTAGTTTTATACAAACTTGGTAAAAAACCAAGCTTCCAAACAGGGATCTTCTTCTTCTTCCATTCTATTGAATTGAATCGAATCTCACTAATCTCATCTCTGACGCGCTTACTTCCGTCACCGTGCGCCTGATTGGGTCCCACACCAAAGCCCCTACTTCTACTCCTACTGTCTGCTTGCTGGGGACGGCACGGCGCCATTACATATATAGCGCCTTAGCAATATATGTACTTGCTCAAATCCAAACATTTTTTTTAATAGTATATTTTTCCTCCCATATCGAAGATATCTTCCCCAAGACGCCGCCAAAACCCCCGGCTCAGGGTCTTAGTACTGCTACCGGACCAGCACCAGCAGCAAAATTTTGCAATTACCACAAGGATATATACATAGATAGCTTGCTTCATTCCGCATTCATCAACATCAATCTCTCTCTGTGCTGTCCTTGACAGCAAATGGGAAGCTGTTTCTCCAGCAGCAGCAGCAGCGGCGTCGCTGCAGCAGCATCACTTGCACGCCACCACAAATCCAATTCTACGCCTCCTGCTTACGTTGTCTCAGTCAATGGGGACCTGCGCCACTACTCTACTCCCATAACTGCGTCTCAAGTTCTAGACTCAGAAACCTCCTCCTCCTCCTCCTCCTCCTCCTCTACTAGTAGCATTACCAGTCCTACCTCCTCCTCCTCTGCAACACTATTCTTCCTCTGCAATTCCGACTCCCTGTACTTTGACCAGTTTATTCCTGCCCTCCGTCCTAAAGACCAACTCGACCCTTCTCAGATCTACTTCCTCCTCCCCCTCTCCAAGCTCCGCTACAAGTTATCTGCCTCCGACATGGCTGCTCTCGCCGTCAAGGCTACCCTCGCCCTTCAGACTGCCACTACTAGTATCCTCCTTAAACCTACTAATAATCCTCCTCCTCCTCCAATTACAAGAAGCACCCGCAACCACAAGCACAAGCGCAACCCATCTCGAATTTCTCCTCTGCTTCTGGTACGACACCAACACGAAGATGATCATGCTCAGCCTCCCCCGCCACTACTCCAGCACATTAATAATCATACTCGTAACAAACACCAAACACTCTTGTCCTCCACACCCCGCCCTACGGTACTCCAAAGATTGTCTTCCCGGCGGGCTAAGATGGCTGTACGTTCCTTTAGGATCAGGCTAACCACCATCTCCGAAGGATCTGTTCTCCTTTTCAACCCTTAAATTAATATCATCATTATTATATTTGTTCATTTTTTTAATCAATTGGGTCCCTTCATTAGGAGACCAATTGATTAATGTCCCATCCTGTGCATGCATCCAGGCCCTGCCAGCCGGACCGCTCCGCCACAATATTTGAACCCATTTGTAGTGCTATTCATTTTTTAGAGTTGCAGCAGAAAAAAATGTATGCAAGTAAAGAAGCGAGTGAAAAATGTATTTGCTAAAAAATTTCTTTAGCAATCAATAATGCAAACAACGTGAATTTTCTTCAGTGTAACATGTAGCAGATCTTACGGCAAAGTGATACATTACTCTGACTAGATTGATGCAATGTGCGTCGATTGGCCACATCAATTCGGATGCACATTGCGGTTGCCGAAGGAGCCCATTACGGGTGTTGTGAATTGAAGGTCAATTTAATAGACTTGTATAAGAAGAACCAGGTTGCGCTTCGGAGAATAATAAGCAAGATGCGCCAGTTCCAAAAAAAAAAGGGCGCAAGATATGCAGGGAATATTGTGAAGAAGGGTTGTACGTCAAAGAAGAGGGGGCCTGAAAATAAATACATTATCGACAACTACTAGATTCATCGGTTTGAATAATGTATTTGCCTTCATTATTTTGAAATATTATCAATCTCATTTGGATTGCTAATTTTAGAAGTTTTCGTAGAAAAATATATTGTAATGATTTGATGTATGTGATCATGAAAGGGGCAATTCTTATGTTTAGGATTTTCAACTTGATAAAAATCAGCTCATTGTTTAATGTATTTTGAACTGGTTCTACTCTTTATCCAAATATATTTAATTTCTCTTATTTTAGAAAAGAATGAACAAATTAGTATATTTTCGTTATAGGATCTAGCTAAATGCAAAATAAAAAGAATTGTTATGTAATTAATCATAATGAGAAGACATTATTTGAAATAAAAAAAACTATACAATGACTGTGAAATTAGGATACAAACAAGGCTAAAAGAAATGCCACGAGGAATAGATGATAGATAACTTTTTTGAAATTCAAGGAACATAAAATAATGAATGGAGTGCCAGAGTCTTTTTATTAGAACGCAAATATCATTTATTAATTAGGCAATATATTAAGTGCCTTTTCTATTAAACTTGTTTGATAACATGGGATCCATTTGGATCGTGTGTTTCTTCTGTGAGTTTATCTAAAATTATACTATAAATTACTATAGTTGTCTTATTAATGTATTCAAAAAAAATATCACTTTGCCTAACATACGTAGCTAGTGGCCATCGATGTGTTGCCACTTATCTCTTTGCCAGACTCGATCATCCCCTTCTTTTTCACTATTCATCCTGTCACCGCTTCTCTTCCTCCTCTTCTTTTCCGTTCTCTCTTTCTTCCTCCCACAACTTGGTTGTTTCCTTTCTCTTTCTCTATCTCATTATCACCAAATTTGCCACGTCCTTCTTCTTTATTTCCCTCATTTCCACATTTTCTCCCCTATTTCTTTCCCTAGGTATAATTGTGACCAAACCTAAGGAGAAGATAGGGGAGGGAGAGACAATAATGTTGTTAAATTCGGACCGGATAGCGATTCGACTAAATTATTGGGCCAGGATCAACTGGTCGGATCAATCGGACAATTCTAAAAAATTTGTTGACATCAGCATGATGTCATAATTATTTTATATTTTTATAAGTTTCAGAAATATTGAAATTAAGTTACTGGTTATAGTCGACCAATCACAAAAAATGTTCCAAAAATATTAGATTTGTAATCAAATACACACCTAATAATTATATATAAAAATGTAAATTCGTGACTAAAATATGTCCATTTTCTAAAACTACTTAAAAAACTAAATTAAAACAAATTGACGCAAGTTGGAATCACTGATGCTAAATTGATAAGATGATAGGGATGAAACGTCTTGATTTAGAGATTATTCAGGAAAGTGAATGAGTTTAGTATTTACACTAAACGGGTGGTGTTTTCATACTTCTATTAATAAATAAAAGTGGTACAATGTAAATAACTCAAATTATGTTTGGAAAAAACAAGAAAGAAAAGTTTGAAAATAGGGTTAAGCAGTCGAATTAAGTCACTGATTTAGTCGATTTTTGACTAATTTTTTAGCAAAGCAATTTTGTACTGCAAACAAGTTCGAGAAAAATGCGGATTCACAGGTTGGTCCTAATGGAACTCCTACACGCAATGCTATTGCTCTGAATTGGTTGTAATTAAATGACTTGTTGATCAGTTAACGTAACTAGTGGACTAGGTGTACTGATGATCACTTGCGATGGTTAGAGATGGCGTTGACCCACTAACGAGTGCAATACAAACAAATGAAATGGGGCGGGTGTTGTCATTAAATGGCGTTGACCCAATCTGAATTTGGTGGTAATTAAATTAAATGAACGAGTGTTGTTATTATTGAAACCGTATAGTATTAATTCGTTCACCAATTAAAGCGGTCTTAATCTTATATGTGATGCCGTTATTTGGTTACCAACTTCATCGAGACTACTACTATTAATTATTATTAATATCCGAAACAACATCGATATCATCATCATCATCATCATCATGTAGCAGCAGCACTGTAGGAGTTTTTGGGGAGGGGCACATTAATTATTATACATATAATAGGATAATTATGGTACTCGCGGTATCAAATTAGGCCGCGAGTGATCTGCAAGTAGTAGTGTGTTAGCCCAGGAGGAGGAGCAAAGCATGATGATGTTGACGGGATGGAATATTTATTAGATTCATCCCACCGGGCGGGGCACCACCGCAGTTTTAGGCTTCACAAATTGGAAACCCACCGGTTTTATTTTATTAATGAGTTGAGCTCTCTCAGCCTCCATTGATTACTGATTGCTGCTTTATTAGTAGCAGCAGTAACTAGTAATGTTGTACTTGCTGCTCGGCTGAGGAGCAGTTGTATATCTTCTCCTATTGCTATTGTATCTACTTACATCGCATTATTATTATTATTATTATTATTATTATTGTCTGTCGGTGCCTTCCTTCCATAGTTCCATTCATTCTTCGTCTTCCAAACCACACTCCTATACAGTACCCCTCCACTCCAGTACCAAGCTATGTAATATTACTAAATACTAATCCAAATACTCTTCTTCTTCTGTAGCTTCGATTAATTGCCTGCTACTACCGGAGCCCGAATCACGATGATGAGAGCGCCATTACTGGATTTCTCTTCTCCTTCGACCACTACTCATTCTTCTCCGATACGAACGCCGGACTCCACTACTTTGCAGTTCTATTGGTGAGAGATCATCACATCCTTTTTCTTTTCTACCTCTCTCTCACACTCTCTAATCTCTCCAACTTTTATTTTTCTTCCTTCTTCTGGCTCTCTGCAGTCTTCCTCCGCCTCACCTTCTGACCACTCTCTTGCAAAAGGAGGATCTTTCACTACTCGATGCTACGCCTCCTCTACCAACTTCCCAATCCCACCTCATTTCCCCATCCCCTGTAAGTATTCTGTCTTCCGCCCCCTCTTCTCCGACGAGCACAACCCAACCCAAAAAAAAAAAATTTTTTTTTCCCCATTGTTTTAATGTTCATTTTAATAGTGCTGCATTCACAATTCGTCTTTTTACGTTTATTTCTGTTGCAAATTCCTACGCATGCTAGTATATAGTGTACATATACGATTAAATTGTTTGTTCTCCGTGATGTGAACATGCTATAACGGGCGGAAAGACTTCCTATTTTACACAAATACAACCCCGACTAAACGCATCGAACACATCATCATACTTGAAGATATCCACCACATACTCAGTCTTGACATTTGTCTGAAGACAGTAAACCCAAAAATTCGATTGGACTTTCTACGCAACGCAACCACTCGGATTACCCAATTTCAGAGCCACCATGATATCATTCGTGATATGATCGACATGCCATGATACCCACTTGGCTTTCTATCACACTTACCATTCTTCAGTCTCAGTTTGCTTCCTGAATGCGCTCTAGACAAGAGTCTTCCTGAATAGCTCTCCATGTGTTTTTTTTTTACGCTGGGGCGTAGCTAAAGCCAAAATCTTGACATCATCTGCTGCAACCAAGAACTCGAGTTTAATATTACCAAATTTGACCAAGGTTCCATAAAATCATGCGTATTATGGTGGCGTGTTTGCGTCCTCCTGATCACAGACTTGGTGTTACCAAATTCGAATTGGTGAATTTCTTATCTCTGAAGGATAAACATTTCAACTGTTGGGGTTCCATGAGAACCTTTACTTCTTGCTCTTTTCTTGAATCGGATATTGATATTATCCGAGAGCTATAACAGCTGTAATGACTGTGCCTCTTTTATTTTTCTGTACAAAGGCTCATTAGGACGAATAACCGACATTCTACAGATGCGTCTACCATTCATTATTCAATTATCTTCTGCTTGGGATAATGTCAGCACAGAATTTCATCTGTTCCGCTGACTTGTGATTGTTTCAGTTATAAGAACCTTCAGAAACATTAGGATAAGTTTGAACTGATATAACTCTTGATGCACGAGCACCTGTATTTCATGATTATAAAGGTTTCTCCTTGTAGCTCATGAAACATGTAATGAAGTGCTCACATCTGATGCAGACAGTTGAATTTTAGGACAAATTTTGTAAGTTTTCTATTTGTGGATAAATTATAAGTCTTGACACCTTTCCCTGATTCTCCAGCATGATGATGCATATCATGGGTTCCAATCCCATTAGTCATAGTCTCCTTCTCCTGATACTCTGTCTTCACTTGATGTGTCGTTTGAAAAGAGGCTACCTGACTTATATTTTTAGTTGTGGATTTCAGTCTTCTATGGAACTCATGAAAGAGATAACCAGACTTGAGGTTGAAATACTTCAATTGGAGCGTCATCTTCTTTCTCTTTACCAGAAAGCTTTCCAACAGCATCTTCCAGTTCTGATAAGAGATCGGGGAACTTGTAGTAACGATAAGATGGGACCACACCTGCAAGCTACCGATAATCATCCATGTTACAAACTGGATTGGGCTCTCTCACAAAGTGATTCTAACCATCGCCATCAAATCCTCCCTTCAAATGCATTGACCTGTTCAAGTTACCATATAAAAGCTGCTCCAAGGGCATCATCTAGAAAGGTTGATACATTGCCACTCTTAAAGGTTTCACTCACATATTTAGTTGTCATCTTCTTGAGTTATTGCTGGTCATGAAAATCTGCAATGTTTTATGTTATTCCAGAAGGCATTCATTGAGTGACATAAATAATATTTTGTAGGAGAAACCACAGGTGGATTCTGTGCACCGTAGCCTTGCAGATCATCTTGGCACTTCTCTCATGGATGATGCCCTTGATTATCCCAATAGATTGTCCGAAGAGATCGTCAGATGCATATGTTGTATTTACTGCAAATTTTCTGATCCAGCTCTTCCTCAAAAAGGTCTTTCAGTATCTTCTAGTTCATCGTTGTCCTCTTCTAGCACATTTTCTCCCAGAAATATTTCTGGTGGTTGGAGTCCTCAATTTGATGAAGAACCTAAAGGGTACATTGAAGGCCTAAAAGATGAGGCTGGTCCATATGCCGCAACAATAGAAGTGTTAAAGATACGTCTTGATGATCAGACTTTCCAGTAAGTTGCAAGAGTGCTGGAAAAATTCAGGTTGTCTGCACATGAATATGCTTTGCTTAGAAGTCTTGCTCTAGTTGATAGAGTAACAAACTTTGCTAGAAAGTTCAGGTTATGTTACCTACCCACAACTCAATTATCCTAAACTGAATACTATAGGTTTAACTAAAATTGGGAATCATTGCTCAGCAAACAAATGACCCGTCATTTGATACAAGGGAAATCCTTGATTAAGATTTTCTGGGGAGTTGTTTCCTTAGGGTCTAACATTTCTTGTCGAAGTTCTAATTTTGCAGGTCACTAGTTAAGAGTCTTGAAACTATTGACCCAAGGAACATGAAACGTGAGGAGAAGCTTTCATTTTGGATAAATATTCACAATGCCTTGGTCATGCATGTATGCTTCTAGAGCTCGCTTTTTAATTTTGTTTCTTTGTGATACTTGTATGTTGAAGAGAATCATTTTTCACATTTCCCACCATCACCTGCAAACTGGAAAAGAATCTATCCCTTGATCATTGATGTCTGGTGGAGAAAATTAAGCCCATTACTTAACCTTTTAATGAAGGGTCTCTATTTCTGATTGTAAATCATTAGCTTTTGTTATATTAGACTGATAATCTAATCAGTTAAGTGTGTAGTCATAAGCTTTCAGGAGCACTTCCATAAGATTAAGAGAATGTAGTGGAACTCTATTTGTTCATGGATAGTCCCAAGGGGCTCATGTGATCTTTGCACGTATGGTGCATTACTTACTATTAGCTGGCCTACACTTCTTTGCCTTAGGTGAATAAGGTTATCCCTCTTACCAAGGCTAGTTCTAAATTATGCTTTACGAAAGTTTTGGCTGCCCCTGTCAACTACAGATCCTTGCGCACACAGAGGACGTGACCATAGTAATGATGATTTGAACTCCCTCTCTGACCTATTGTTGGATGTTATGATCTTACCTTGGCTTGGTTACAGGACCATTAGTGCCTTTTTACGGTCTACAATATGTAAATATTCACCACAGTGGCACGCATGCTAACATTGCATATCAACTACTTCTTCAAATTATTCTAGTGTAACTCTTTCAAATTATATGATTATTACTATGCTATGCCACCCTCTCGTTCAGCATCCCTTCCCATTATACTTCACTTTGACATTCTATTGAGGTGTTTGGCTTTTTATGCAGGGTTATTTAGCATATGGAACTCATAATTTTGTGAGAAGCTCTTCGATCTTAAAGGTATATACTCAAATGTGCTAGCTTTCCCTGGTCCCTTGGTCTATAGTTTCTGTGCATAAGCTGTGGTAATTTAATACACAAATCTCTCTTTCAGGCAGCTTATAATGTGGGTGGACACTGCATAAATGCTCATACTATACAAAGTTCAATTTTAGGAATCCGGTCACACTACTCAGCACCGGTATGCCTCGGATTTTAGTGTCTTAATCTATTTGCTCGCACATGGGACACATTTATATGCTTCTACATGATATTGATCTCTTCCTAGTTTCTGGTCTTAATAGGTGAAGAAAGATAATGCAAAATCATGAAGTTTTATCAATGTACAAACGCTGTAAAATCTACCAAAAAAAAGAAAAAAAATCCTTAAGCAAGTTGACATGAACAGAAACATTAACAAACTAAAGATTGAGGAAAGTGGAGGGAAATGATGGTAAAAATATGCACAAATTTCTTCCAGTTATCAAATGTAATCTTAATGAAGTTCAGAACGTTATAATATGGTCCTTAATTTTGAAGTAAGGCTGCCAATATATAGAGTCCTTCTAAAGATTCCATAGTATTTGGAGACCTGTGGTCTGGGTTAAAAAAAGGGGTTTTCGTTATTGAACTAGAAGTTAAATTGTTGCACTTTGGAAAAAAGACAAAAATCATAATCAGGAAGGCAAAACAGACAAAGTCGCATTGGATTTTTTATTCCACATTAAAAACCATCAAATTATGACTGGTTACCTCGTCTTGACCATAAATCATGTGATGTAGCTGTAGTATGACTGATCACGGGGTGTTATGGTAGTTTGACTGAGATAAGTGGTAACTTTGTTTGGTCTTAGCCAATCATCCAGTATTTTGTGTAGCTTTTCTAACACGAGATGAATGCAGTGGCTACAGACACTGCTGAGTCCAAAGAAGAAGCTTATGACCGGGAGTGCGAGGCACACTTATTCCCTTGAATACGCAGAACCTCTAGTTCATTTTGCGCTTTGTTCGGGGTCATGCTCCGACCCTCCGGTATGCCTTCATTTTTGAGCGTGGATATATGTTTTGATTTTTGGAGTAGTGCATTATCTGACTTGACAATGGCACCATGCAATGCAATGCAATGCTCCCCCGGGATGCAGGTTCGAGCGTACACGGCAAAGAATGTATTTCAGGACCTAAAAGTTGCCAGAGACGAGTTCATACAGGCGAGTGTATACATCCAAAAAGAAACGAAGGTATACCTGCCAAAACTAGCGCGTCACTTTGCAAGGGAAATGTCACTAAGCACGAGTGGACTGCTGGAAATGGTCTGTGCATGTCTTCCGGAGCTTCAGCAGAAAGCTATCAGAACATGCATGAAGGGTAGAGCTGACAAGTATATCTATTGGGTACCACGCAGCTCAGCTTTTCGATATCTAATCCGCAAGGAGGTAGTCCAAGGAGGATACCCGTTGAATTGACAAAAAGAAAGAGCGCCATTTGTTTTTTTTTTTTTTTTTTCTATTGGTTTGTTTGTAAATGAAGGATCGCGAATAAATGGAATGATTTCGCGTTGTATAGAAAGATGCAAATGGTTTATAGTTCTTGACTTCTTGGCTTTCCCCTCATCATCCTGCCTGACTCAAGTGCAACGACCGTGACTGGCTCTGGGATGCACCTCCTCCTCTTCTGCAGTTTGCAATTGCCCATGACTCTTAATTTGTGCAAGCCCCTTGCATTTCCCGGCCAACCGTGGTTGGTTTAATGCCCTCCAAATTTTCATGAGGTTTGTTTTTTGGTGTCGAAATAATAATTAATCTTATAGATTATCAAAACTTTATGGTTGCGAGTGTATTCAAGAGGTTAGTTGATCCATCTCCATTTCACTTCCTCTCCCCCTAGTATAAAACCATTTGTAAAATGTTGTACCCAAAAAAAAAACTCTAATTCGTATGGTAAGCTAGTTTGCTACCATCCTTATTTGGTTGTGCATCACACTATGGTCACATACCGTCCTTTTGTGAAACAAACAAACAAGCACAAAAGAAGAACGGTGCCCTTCCAATTGCGAAACAAAAACTCACACTACTAAGCAACCAAAGTAGCGGAAGGGTGCCACCGAGTCCAGCTTGAGGAGCGTTATACTCAAATTCGAACTTGATCACTGACTGATTCAGTGTTATTTGAACTTGAAATCAAGTTTAAACGATTATATAAATTTGAATTCGAATTTCATACAAATTTATTACCTCGATTACTACTCGCCGAGTTACTTCTGATTTACACAGAAGAAATAGCTCGAGCTCGAGCTTTTGACCACCACCGTCATTTTTAATAGCGGCCAGTGAGTATTCAGCTCTAATATAGCTACATTTAGTTGAAGAAGAAAGAATGAAAAAAGGAGTAATCTTGTCCGATACTCAACTCGTACGGAGTAATGCGAGAGCAGCGAACCATCAAATCAAACACCTCCCGGTCACCGTTCCGTACCCCAACTGATCGGTGACCCTTGCTTGCTAATATAGCTGTCCTTTTTTTTTTTGTTTTTAATCTTTTAAAAGGGTTTTGGCACGTTGTCAGAGAAAAGTACTAATTCCCAGCATCTGTGATACATTCCGGAAGACATGGTTCTCTCTCTTCTTCTTCTTGTTTTGTTTTGTTTCAAATTCGTTTGATTAATCGGGCCGCCTGTAGCTGCACAATGATTTTGTGTTTGCTTACACGTACATTTACTCTTCCTTTTTTTTTTTGGTTTGGGGTTAACACGTACATGTACATGTAGGATGGGGGGAAAGATTGCGAAGCTGTTGCAAGGAGAAGACACTTGGAAGAGTTATTAAACTCCGAACCAGATGATTCATCCCTCCATTTTAAACTCGTAAGCTTCAATTCAATTCAATTCAATTTTTCTGTAGTAGCATTATTTACGGAGCAGTATTATTTATTAAGAATTTTTTTGACTGGTTTCGGTGATGGCTCCTGCTGCATTGCTGTCTGACTCTGTTTGTTGTTGTTGTGGTGGTGGTGGTGGTGTCGTCAGGGAATATTACTGTGGGAAGAGGGAGAAGAGTCAAAAGCAGCAGAGCATTTTGTAACTTGCGCAAAGCTCAACCCCCAGGAAGCTGCTGCTTTCAGGTATTTGGGTGATTATTACTCGCGATTGGACTACGACCAGAGCCAGAACCAGAGGGCTCTCAAGTGCTACCAACGAGCCCTCCTCCTCGATCCTGATGATTCCCTTTCCGGGGAAGCTATCTGTGATTTGTTGGACCAACAAGGTAAAATCTCCTTGCAGTTTGCCATCTGCACTCAAGCTTCCAATAAGTCCCCGACAGCCTTTTGGGCTTTTCGAAGATTGGGATTTCTTCAGGTTTTACCCATTTCTCCTCTCATCTTTTCACCGCAATGCTCTCTAAAATGTTTTTTCTCCCAAACTATATAACCTGCCTTTTTCTTCGTTTTTTTGTGCTGAATCGTCCATGGACGCGTGTTTGCAATTCCAGGTCCATCAAAAGAGATGGTCTGAAGCTGTGCAGAAACTTCAGCATGCCATCCGTGGCTATCCCACCTGTGCCGATCTCTGGGAGGTCTTTCTTTGTCCATTCATTCTCTTTTTCTAAAAAATATATATTATATCCCTTTGCACTCCAACAAGCATTCTCTTTTACAGTAGCACACATTTATTTAAGGTCTTTTTCTGTCTTTCTGCTACTATAGGCCTTGGGTCTAGCCTACCAGAGACTGGGCATGTTCACTGCTGCAATCAAGGTCATCTTAATAAATCTTTCTTCTCTGCTTTCTTTTCTCTAATATTGAGCTGATGATACATTTCTGCCTCTTACATAATTCTCTCACTGACATTAACTCGTGCTGCTGCAGAACCTTTTTGCTTTTATTCATTAAAAAGTAAAATAATCCTCTTTCTGGTAAACCAGATAAAGCTAGATTGTCTGCCTTCTCCCCTTCACCAGAAAATGAAAAAGAGATGGGTTTTTAAACGTTGGTGAAGCTTCTATAATTAGTTGTTGTAACTTTTTAATAAGGGTGATCTGCATTCTGTTTCACTCTCAAAAAGTGACTTCTTTTGGTTACTTCAACAGTCATATGGAAGAGCTATGAGTTATAGGAGTCAAGAATCTTTGCCTTGATTGAAAGCGGAAACATTTCCTTGATGCTAGGTTCTTTTAGAAAGGTAAAGCTTGTTTATACCTTACCATCCCTTGTTCCTGATATTGGACTTACTCCCAACCTCATTTTGTGACTCACCCCCTGAAAGTATTTTTTTGTTTTAGGTTCATCGCTTCTTTTATTTTTATCCTCATTTCTCTGAATCATTAAAAATAATTATTTTGTTTGTTTTATGCATCATATTGTGAATGCCAAATGAGTATAACGTAAATGAAGCTTTTTCTAGCCCGTAGTAGTTCTCCCTGTTGCGTAACTTTCATTTTCTTAGTGGGATGTCCAAATTTGTTTATGTTCAGAAACACAAAAAGGTTATTTAGGATCTATTTTCCGTTTCTAAGCCGTTTTTGTGGTTTGAGCTTAGTTTATATTAAATAAATCTGAACACAAGGTCAAGTTTAAGTGCTTTGATCACATATTGAACTGGTACTTCTTATGTTATTTCAATGAGATAATTCAATGTGAATATTTTTAGCTCTCTTCCGTTTTTGTTGCTATTAAGTGAAATTATCTTTGCACGTAGGGAGTTGAGCATTTTAGGCAAGCTTTGTTGATTTCACCTGAAAATTTAGCTGCACATTATGGGCTAGCTTCTTCTCTACTTGGTTTGGCTAAGGAATGCATAAATTCAGGTGCATTTAGATGGGGAGCTTCACTATTGGAGGTCAGTTGACTTGATAGTTTAGAACCCGAACTTTTGAATGTTGCAGCATTTGAGGTTTCAATAAATATATCTTTCTTATTTATTTTATTTATAAATATTGTAGGAGGCTTCTGAAGTAATTGTATCGATTATGACATTAGCTGGTAACATATCATGTATCTGGAAGCTGCATGGTGACATTAAGGTGAAATCGTCTGTCATGATTATGTTGTTTTGTAATTAGTGGTAATTTCTGCCTTCTGTTTTCGCATTGTATTTGGTATTAGTTTCTCAAATATATCAAAAGTTTCTCGAAATGGCCTCATTGTCTGTTCATTTAATGTTTCTCATAATGAGTGGCCCTGAATTGAGGCCCGTCTCTGTGTTGTCAGCTATTCTATGCCAAATGTTTTCCCTGGGTGGATGATGGGTGGGGCTTAAAAGCTGACCAAAAAAGTTTCAGCGACTCAATCATTTCCTGGAAAAGAATTTGCCATCTAGCTGCTGTATCTTCATCTCGTTCTTATCAGCGGGCTCTGCACTTGGCACCTTGGCAATCTAATTTGTACACAGACATTGCATAGCATCAGATATTACTTTCTTTTCAAAAGAGAATCACGAAGAGGACCTGAACTCTTGGTAGTTTTTCATCTTCTGTTCAGCTACAGGATGATTATTAAGGTTTGCATCTCATGCGTTGTCCTACTTAACAGGTCACAAGCTGAGAAGATGTGCTTAGGGGGCTTATTACTTGAGGGAGAAAATAATGAGTTCTGGGTGACATTAGGATGTTTATCAGATCATAATGCCTTGAGACAACATGCTTTTATTCGTGGGCTGCAGTTGGATGTTTCACTGGCTGTTGCTTGGGCGTATCTTGGGAAGGTAATGCTTTACAGATGTGATTTTAAATTCAGTGACTCCATCTGCTAAAATAATCTTTTTAGACGTGAGAGAGAACTTGAACTCAAGTTTTTCTTGACACTAGAAGAACATTATCAAGTCTGGAACCATAGTGTTGCTGCAGCGCTCTCTTTCTGTCTCAATGAGCACACACATTCATGCGTTGGTTCTTTCCTTTTGTGGGCTTCTGTGATACCCATGCAAATTTGTGAATTGACTAATATATCTTTTCTGGCAGCAGTCAATGATTTCATAGTCAAATGACTTATCTTTGGGATCATTATATTCATAAAGTTGCTCTTTTGTGACCTAAGAGATCAAAGATTGGATACATGGAAGTTTTATTTTCTTGCATGAGTAAGGCTGCACAAAGTTGGTGTGCTAGGGGATCATGATGCAGTGTGTACGACTTTTGAAGCATGACATCCTATTGTTAGTCATTGTCAATGCTAGTTATTCTGGAAAGATGAAAATCTTAAATGAGTGTTTCTTTTCAAGTTTTTGTTGAATGTAGTCAATCTGCCATACTTACACAACTGGCTTGAAATTGTGTTACCTCTCTTAGTTGGGTGCCCTTTTCGACTCACAACTCCAATTGGTTCTTGGCTTTTATAGAATGTTAGGAGGCTTTGCTGGTTTATGCACTCTCAAATCTATTTAAGCTGCTGAAATTTGAACAACCTTCTCAGAATTTGGAGGATTGGGGAGGGGGGAGGTTGTTGCAGTGCCTAGCAACATGTAGGAGATCTAATGTTGAGATTTACAGCTCTACAGGCTAGAGGGTGAAAGGAAACTGGCACAGCAAGCATTTGATCGTGCTAGAAGCATAGATCCCTCACTTGCATTACCTTGGGCTGGAATGTCAGCTGATGCTGATATTAGGTATGTGTATAAAT